GTTTTGGCTAAGAAGCTAGACAAAGGTGTATCAGGTTTTGTGGGCTCTCTTTATAAGACACCCCAGCAGCCCCAGGTTGCAAAAGGGAACTGGCTAGATAGCGAGCTTGGAGTTCCTCAGGCAGTGTTTTATGAACCAAAGGAGTAGAGGGGAGGGCTCCTCTCCTAGCACATGCCACAGTTACCAGATTAAGCCGGTTGCCTTGGTAACCTCCTCTCTGGGCAGGATTTGGGATTGTCGGTTAGGAAGGGTGAAGAATTGGGGAGGAGTGTGAAGGGTATGGGGCATGGAAATAAAAGGGATAGAGACTTCTGGAAACTGGAAGTGTGGGCAACAGGACCCCTCCAACTACTCAAGAGGATGGAGACCTTGAATCGAGAGAGAGGAGAGCTGCACCAGGTCCTGGTCCTAGGAGAGTAACAGCGATTCTCACCCTGACTGTACAACAGAACCTCAGGGAACTTTTCAAAAACACTGCTGCTCTGGCCCCACCCCAAAACAAGAAAATCAGACTCAGGTGGGGCCAAGGCATAGGATATGTTTGAAAAACTCCCCAGGTGATTGTTTTCCCCCTCGAACAAATAAGGAGCCCTGATACCCAGTCTAGTTCAAATCTACCAGTTGCTCCAAGGGAGTCAACAAGAGGCTTTCTGCTCCTGTAAAGACTGACATACAACCACCACCACCACCTTTAACAAATAGAAATGTATTTTCTCACAATCTGGAAGGCTAGAAAGTCCAAACTGAGGGTGCCAGCTCTTAGGGCAGTACTGTCAACTCTGCAGAGTCCATGTCTCTGGGCTTCTGCACCTGGACAATCTTTCTGTGGTTTGGCATCTCTCTTCCCCTAGCTCTTGCTTCCCTTGCTTACTTAATCTCTTTTCTATCTCAAAAAAGATTGACTCAAGACACACCCTACAGTAAGTCCCTAGGTGATTGCTTCTAATAGCTAGGATTTAGGATCACTGTCCTTGGGACAACCCAACCCAAGTGGGCTGCAGATGCTTGGAGACAACTTTGGGATGCCAAGTCAATGCTGTGAGTACAAGGACAGCAAGCCTGTGTGCTGATCCTGAGGGGACGGAGGGTTAGCAGGCATCCGCACTGTATCATGGAAGAAATAAAGGAAGATGTTGTGAAAAATGACTGTTGGAAGATGGGCACAAAAAGCTTAACTGAAAGCCCAACTCATGGACTTCTAGGAAATTGAGCAATTACAGGGTCACCTAAGGCTTATCTGTCACTGCCCCTTTTGCTCCCCTTCTTTCTGCACACCGGGACGCAAGCTGGGAGGGCAGAGAGAACCTAGGGGCTTTGCTGAGCTTGAGTTTCTTCTTAACTGAGCTCGTTACCAGGGCAACAGAGAGAGCAATGGGATCTAACTGCAGGACTGGAGAAGCAAGAGGCAGGGGTGAGGGGGAAGCATCTCTTACACTTTTATTCCTCCTGCCAGCAACCCACCCTCAAAGCTGGCTGCCATTCTTTGCATGACCCTAGGAGGCCAGACACAAAGTTACCCATCACACCATGGGGAAAAAGAGGGGTAACAACCTGACAGGATTTAAAGAATTAAGGATGGAGATCGGGTATGGTACTCCAGTAAAAGGGGTATTGGGGAGTTTCATGTCATTTTAAGATGCACCATGCCTCTGCCCAGTGTGAGTATCGGAGACCTCAAAAGAGGTGCTGCCAGCTCCACATAACACTCAATTGCTCTCCCACATCAGGACTTCCACCCCACCCCAGCCCCTGAGGAAACAATCAGCTCAAAGCTGGCCATTGCCCTGTCAGCACCAGGAACCAAGTGACCTAGGTAGATAGCAGCATGAGCCACAGTTGGTGGCTTTTCCATTTCCCCTAGGCTTTCCTAGTACTAAAATAGGATCATCTCCCTTAGACTGTGATCCCTAATACTTTAGTACCAGACACCTTTAACTGCCTCATCCAGAACCTGGCAGTTTAACAGCTGGTGGCTCATTACCCTGCATAAGGGACAGTAATATCTCACTAGCTTGTGTCCCCGACACCTCCAGTCAAAGGGACTCCAGAATATTCTGGTGTCTGTGTGGCAATGTCTTGGTGGCACAGCAGATTAAGCATTGGACTGCTAACACAAAGGTCAGTAGTTTCAGTCCACCAGCCACTCTTCAAAAAAATGAGGTAATCTACTTTCATAAAAATGTACAGCCTAGGAAACCCTGTTAAGTGTCCTCCCAGCTTGTGTCTCAGTGTGCAGAAAGAAGGGGAACTTAAGGGGCAGTGACAGATGAGCCTTAGGTGACCCTGTGATAACCCAATTTCCTAGAAGGCCACAAGTTGGGCTCTCAGTTAAGCTTTTTGTCCCCAATTTCCAAGTTGGCTCTGACTCATAGCGGCCCTGAATTGGGTTTCCGAAGAGCAGCTGGTGGGTTTGAACCGCCAACCTTATCCTACAGTGCCACATCAGGACTCCACTGTCCTAAATGGTCACAATGAGTTGGAATTAGCTCAATGGCAGTGGGTTTGTCTCTCTGGTTTTATGTGGCAATGCTGTTGTTGTTGAGTGCCGTCGAGTCGGTTCTGACCCATAGTGACCCTGTATAGGGTTTCCAAGGAGCAGTTGGTGAGCCTAAAACTACCAACCTTGCAGTTCAAACGGCTTTGCAGTCTGGCGCATTAACCCACAGCTCCACACCAGGAATGTCAAATTAGGAAAGATCACGGGTATGGCATATAGACCCACTTAGGGTCTCATAGGGATTCCATACTTCTCTGGGCTTCCATTTCGTAAGTCTTAGCAGCCTCAAGCTGTGATGTTGGGGGACGGTGGGATTCGAAAATCCCCATAATCAACTCCCTAACAAATTAAGACCCAAGCACAGTGTCAAGTTTACAGTCTAAATTTTATTATCTCCAAGTCACAATGCTGATCACAAATGTGCACCCTTTAAAACAGTAACAAAAACAAACAACACACATGGAGAAATCCTTGCAACTAAACACAGGGACTGACAGAGACAACTGTCACAGTGTCTTAAGGTCTGGGAATCTGGGCATACTGCCCACAGGCTTGAGGAAATATCTTCAGGTTTAAGGCAAAGGGGACAACCTACAAAAGGCATGGCCATTAGTTACCCCTAAAAAGATTTTTTTTCTCCTCCTTGGGGGTTACAGCTCAAGTGCCTCTCTTCCTCCACACCCCAGACACCTGTGACTCAGCTGCCCAAGAGAAGGAAGAGAAACATACAGTGACATTCTTGGGAGAGAAATACAGATGCCACCTTCTTCCCCAGGTTCTGTAGAAGGATAGGGACAGCAGCCAAGTTGCCTCTGGGAGAAACAAATGCTGCTGCAATGGAAATCTCTTCGGCAAAGGCAGTAAGGGTGAAGGAAGGAAGGAAGGAAGGAAGGGAAAGGAAGAGCCTTTGCCCAGAGGGTGACTAGCTTCATTAGGTCTTACACCCAGGTGCGGTACATATTTCTGTTTGCAAGGACAGGAATAGAATAGGAGAGTATGAGGGGAAATAAGGTGTTATCATCTAAAACACTTGTAGCAGGAAAAACACAGAGAACAGCAACTACGAAGCTGAGGGTAGATTGCTTGCTGGATAATACTTGCCTCTAGAGAGATGCACTGGTCCACAGCAACTGAAAAGGAGAGGAGGGATAGATAGAAGAGAAGCAGAGCCCTCTATTTCCACTTACCTCAAAGACTGAGCCCTGAGGACTGTGTGAATACAAAGCCCTAAGGCGCAAAAGGCTCTCACTCATCCTCCCTTTCTCACAAAAGCACCTGGTTTTCCATGTGCTCCACAGTAGACTATCCTCAGTAGAAGACTGAAGACCACAGGAGCACAGGGACTGACAGCTCAGAAAAAGCTCCTACCCATCTACTTTGCTTTCTCCACAATGTGACACTCTGTACAGACAGCTACTCTTCCACAGGGTCAGAGCACTGAAGGGAATCCACACATACAGAAGAATAAGACAAGGACTTGGTAGGGGGAGGCTGGCTGGTACAATAATCTCAACTATCTAGGATGTAAAGAAAAACCAAAAGGGAATCCAGAGGAGCTAGCAAACCAACAGAACGAACTCATTTCACTTAAAAGACACAGAGAAAAAGAAGAAGCAAAAAGAAACAGATAAAAAAAAAATTCATTTTAGAAAGCAAGCCAGGATTTAAAAATGAACATTCTTAGAAACAAAACAGAAAAGAGCTTCCCTGGGAGCAGAACACTTGAATTTCCTGGGAGAAAGTGAAGTAGAACCAAAGATATGGGCTTCTAGACCTAGACTCAGAAGCCCAGGCTGTCTGGATTTCTCCTTCCCTAAGCTCAGGCAAGCCAAATAGAGTGGAAGTGGGAGGGAGTCTTCTTGCTTTTCCCTCTTTCCAACAGAGCCTGGCCTCAGAGGAAGGCAGGGGTCCTCCTCCTTCAGCCACTCGCTTATGGGAGCCACCCTGTATCTTGAAGCCCTCCTGGTAGTAGACAGCCAGCTGAATTTGTCTTCTCGCCTGAGTTCCACCTCTGCAGTTCTGACAAGGGTGGGGAAAAGGAAAGGACCAACGAATGTTAGTGGGCCTTCTGGCATTTACAGGTATTTCTAGAGCACCTGTCTTTGAAAAAAAAGAAAAAGAGAGACACAAAGCAGCAAAATCCATATCTTCAGAATTCGCTCTGCTATAGCACCTCAAGATTAGACGTCCCCTTTTCTTGATCAAGTTAAAGTACTTCCTATATTTTTCCTTTGCCATTTCACAAATGAAATTCTGTAAAATTAACAATGGTTTCTACTTCAACCCTACTCAATGCAACAACAAAACAAAGAAACTGGCAAATTTCAGGACTCCTTTTAAGTCTCCCCTGAGATATCTCATGATTACAACTTAAATCATACATAAGGTAATTTGGCTTACTTGTTAAGCAAATAAGTGTATTAGTTTTAAGAATGCTTTAAGAGTCACAGTAAGTTGTATACTTACTTTTATATGTTAGATTTAAAATATTCACAAATTCAAATTAACTGGAACCCCTGCTTACAACCTGAAATAATAAAGTTGAAATATATTATCAAGCCACACATAAAAGACTGCGTTCCACAGAAGCACACACAAAAAGAAGAGAAGTCCTTTGGGGAAATAATTAAAGCCCCTTGATATAGGGATGTACCGTAACTATGGAGAGGGGCTCATACCTCAGGTGGGGGGGGCTTAATGGTGACTGGTTGGGGAGTCCTCCGGGGTGGGGAGGGCTTCGGCTGTACCTGCTGCTGGGCAGGGTTATAGTAGGTCACACCTCCATATACCTGTGATGGGGCCTGGGGCCCCACAAATCATAAGAAAAAGTAAGGAACTAATTTGTCCATACAATATCAACAGGAAACATTATTCAATCACAAAGAACAGTATTAGTGAATTTATCATTTTTAAATCTCTAAGCTGTTCCCGTTAAAAATAACGTGACTATTCATTTCTGCCTTAATCTGTTGCTCTGAGTCTCACTTCTAAGTACTGCCCAGTTTTCTCTTAATTCCTACCAGCAACTGACAAATGCAAGGGGCTGCGCTCCGTGATGACACTCCAGATACCAAGGGCCAACCAGCTGGAAGTTAATCAGGAAGGGGGTAGGGCTGTGAAGAGTATAATGCAGCTTCTTTATGCACTTAAATCAACAGCAGATGTGCCCACCTTGAAGGACCCGACCCACTGCCCTCGAGTTACTTCTGACTCAAAGCAATGCTGTAAGATACGGTAAACTAACTGCTCCTTAGGGTTTTAGAGCCTATAAATCCTCACGGGAGCTGGCAGCCTCACCTTTCTCCTCTGGTGCAACCGATGGATTTTAGCCCATCGCACCACCAGGGTTATGATGGGCCAAACACACCATTACAGAAGCTGAAGTGAACAGATGTGAGCATTACATACGCTGCATTTCCAGCTTCTAACCACCAAGACGCATCCTGGCGCTACATGAAAATCAATGGCACTGACATTTTCTCTATCTCCCCCCATCCTCCATTCCTATTTGACTTAAGAGATATGTATCCAGAAAGATCTGTCCTCTCACCTGTGTGTTAGGATACAGATGAGGCGGTGGTGGGGGAGGCAGTGTCCCTGGAGCATAAGGGTAACTAGGATTACCAAAATTCATGACGCCTGGGGCAGAAAAGTAAGTAGGAGCAAGCAACTGCTGCGGTGGTGGCTGTCCTGGAGACATGGACACTGGTGGGGGATAGAGGCCTGGATTGGGCAAAGGCGTTGGTGTCTGGTGGGGATGTAAACCTGGAAAAGGGAAAAATCACACCATCTGAAATAAAGATAACACCATTCCTAACCTAGCTGGGCTGCTCAGCATAAAGAGGCTAGGACAGACCCAGGAGGAATTTGTGGCTGGAACAGCCACAGAAGCCAACCTCCCAGGCAAACAGCACAAAGCTCAGAAGGATGGGGTTTATGAAGCCCCCACCACACATTCGCAGAGGAGCCAAGCATACCTGGGTGGGGAAGATGCATTTCTGGCTGCACAATCATGCCCTGAGGAGGCAGTGAGGCAGGGCTGTCACCATGGGTATAGATTGGTCCTTGGAACTGCACTGCAAAATATCACATTGGAACTGTCAGAAATCCTCACTCTTCAAATCACGTGGAAAAGTCACTGTGTCCCCCAAGCCCTTTAAGAGATGTTTTCAATTTCCTTTGTGAAGAAAAGAGCAACCAGACACCGTTTGATAACCAATGTGAGATGTCCGAAGGAAAACTGACAGAACTTCAAAAAATTGGTGGAAAAATGGAATGGAAAGATAATAGAATTTTTACATGAACTTTCTGAAGTCCCCTCATAGTTCACTTTACCCGTCAAGAAAGGTATGCAGTCAATCCCAACAAGACAACACTCACGTGGATCATAGTAATGCCCTTCCATGATACTGATATGTACGGGGGGCGCGGGAGGCTCTGGCACAGGTCTTTGTCGCTGTGATGAGTAGCGTTTGGCTCGACCACCCTGGACGCCCTGAGATAAAGTTAAAGGCCTGAGTAAGAGGACTTCAGATCTAGTCCTACCCTCCTTTAGGTGCTGCCAAACATTTACTTGATATGTGGCAGGTTTTTTCATAATAATTCACCAAATGAATTAAAACTCAATTTTTATTAGCTTGAATCTAAACCCTCTACCTTACCTGAGATTAAAAAATAAAAATGAAAAGATAGGTAATCAATAGGAAAACTAACTTCAAGATCTTATTGGTTTTAAGAGTGAATAAACTATAACATGTAGCCCCCTTCTGTGTCTACCCCTTGTCCCTCGGTACCATTTCTTCCATCCGGTTAAACTGCGGTGGTGGTCCGGCTCCCATGTGGATGTGGTTGGGCACACCTGGAATACACCACCAAAAGAGTCATGGATGAAGAGGAAACACGACAGGAGTGGGACTCAAATAGGTCATCCAGTATTTAGAAATTTACCCTCCCAGCCCACTACCTTAATACAGAAATATAATCATTGAACAAACTACACTGAAAAATAGATGGATGATCAGAAGGGCAGTATTTGCCCAAGGAGAAAGTTCAGATGGGTTAACAAAGGAGGAAGAATGGAAACAGGAAACACAAGGTGTTTCACTGTAGGGACTGCAATCCATGAGATGAAACAAAATGTGGCTAAACTACTGAACGCAAAACTGATCTGCTCTATAAACCTTCACCCACAAAAAAAATAAATAAAATGATTTCAGTGAGAACACTCATGTTCTAATTTCTCCCATGAAATATGCCCCTGTATAAAATCCCTAGGAGGCTGTAATTTAGTATCAAACACATTGAAAAACCTCAGTCCCAGAGTTTCTAACAAATGAACAAGGAAGAAGTGGATCCGATTACACCCTATTCAGAGACCTGGACTGGAAGTTTGGGGAGAGATTTCTATTTGACTAAAAATGACTTTGGATAAAAAGGAATGCTCTAGAGACTGTCTTCCTATGGTATATTAGTAGAAGAAATACTCCACTATTCAGGGAGCCACACTTGGCCCAGTTTGGGTTCACTGGTTGGTTTTTGGTGCTCTAAAATCAATCACACATTAGAAAAGTATACTGAAATTCCCAGTCTTTAGGAGAATCTCCTATCTAAATTTAAGCCAGATTTCAGAAAATTAATTCTGGTTAGCGGAAGGTAAAAGCAGAATGGCCAAATGAGGTGGTAGATAGATCCTAGTCTTTAGAACTATGCTGTCCAATATGAGACAGGCAATAGACACATGTGGATTTTAATTAGTTAACAACAAAAATTTCAGTTCCTCAGTTACTCTGGCCACATTTCAAATGTTTAAAAGTCACAGGAACTCAGTGTTGATATCAGGTAATGTAGACAAAGTAGTGGGATAGTCTTGGGCAATAGATTAAAAGTTCTAAGCACTATGGCTAAGTATATACCTACGAATCCATCTCTTTCTCACAGTTAATGAAAAGGCAGATATATGTCAGACACCTCATCCCAGAGAGAAACAAGTCCATGCACCTAAACTCAATGAAACAAAGTGGAATGAGCTAGCTCCAACCATAGAATACCTACCCCGAAGTTCCCGTGGTGGCAGGAATGAAGGCTGCCCTGGAGTCCAATTCTGTTCTGATATATTTAGTTGTGCCACATCTTGCTCAAGTCCACCTGTAGTAGAATCCACTGGAGGTTCCCAGTTTCCAGTCTTAGCAGGTGGAGGAGGGGTAGTTTCTGGGACTGATGGTGCCGGGGTTAGTCCTTCAGGTGGAGGAGGCACCTCGTCTGCAATCTTGACTGCATCTCCAGCTTTGGTTCTGGTTCTTCTTGCCCGGGAATAGGATTTCTTTTCAATGGGCCTGTCAGGAGCTGGAGGTACAGTGTCAGGAGCAGGAGTTGATGTCTCTAAGGCGGCCTCTTCCTTTTCAGGATTGCCATGCACTTGAGCATCGGCTTCTGGGGAAGGATCTCTCAGATGAGCTTGTTCCAGCCGCCGGGACCGGTAACTAGTCTCATGCTTCAGAGTCTCACCAGACCGGCCACCATGTGGCCCACCAGTCTCTACAGGCCTAAAACTAGCACGGCCTTCCTTGAAGCCCCCAGATCGAGAGTAATTCCTGGGTGTAGACATTCGGCCAGTACCTGCAGCATTCCTGTTAATAAATGTCCTTGGTGGCAGGGTACCCCCGGGACCCTGGTGGCGATGGGACTTGTTTGGCCGCTCACCAATCCAGTTTGGATCTCTTTGTGGAGGGCTCCCAAATCTAAAAAAGGGGGATGAAGAAAGTCTTAAAAATAAAATAACAAAAGGAACTACCAGAGATATAAACTGAGGGTTAGGGAGACTTCCCAGATCCCTCAGCCTCTCAATTACTGGCAAGAACAGAGTGAGAAAAGCAGGAAGATTCTTTCTAAAAATATCAACAGTCTAGGCTTCAAAATTTCTTTACCTGGGTTTCCGAATTCTTCGGGGTTTGATGTCATCAGGATTGTGAGCTGAGCGAATGTCATAGCCATAAAGAGCAATGAGCTCCTGTCGGGACTTGGGAGCCTGTTCATCCTCCCGGAACTTGTCATGCTCCCAGCGACCCTCATCCTTCCATAGCTTCCGCTGACGCCCCTTGGGTCTGGACAAAACCAAAACCAAAAGATTGGCAGAAGCTGCCAAGGAGAGCTATTCATGAAACAACAGGGGTCAGGGAAGAAGACACTGGGAACCTTGTGTATTCTCATTCTACAAAACTGGCCTCCCCCAAAACAAGAGTAAATCATAACACTGCCAAGCCTGCTGGGCTCACATACAACAGGAAAAGAAATGATCTGGTATCCCGTATGAGGCAATTTATGTGAGTACTTCATACCTCAGAGTCCCTGAGCTTTAGATACAGAAAGGCGGGGGAAGTGTGACAATGATGAGAGCACAGACTGCCGGGAAACGAATCCCAGCTATTCTACCTAGAGTTATCAAATAATCTAAGCTTATTTTCCTCATCTGTATAAGAGAGAGAATCACAATACTGACCTCAAAATAATAAATAAGATAGCACAGATAAGCCCTTAGCACAGTGTCTGGCATTAAGTTAAGCAGTAAATCACTAACAGATATTAGCAGCAGCAGCACGTGGCTATTACCTAACTTCCTCCTCCTGAGTTTGTCCTCGAAGATCATGCTCAAAGAAGAGCCCTTTCCGGGGTATATATGCTGGGTTCTTCCGATCTTCATCGTCATCTAAATGCTTTGGGCCCTTCGTCCCCAATTTGTTCTCCACAGGCTCTGTGCTCTCCTAGAGAAGAAGAGAAAGGTCTCCTAAGTCCATCCAAGGTCCCTACTGCAGTTCGAAGGCAGAGGCCTTTAGCGAGCACTGACCTGCCCATCCCCGCTCTGCCGCTCTCCAGTGATCGTGCCTTTATTATCAGGCTTTTCTTCTCCCTTCTCTTCTTTTGCTGATGAATTAGCAGCATCATTGGCTTCTGATTTCAGCTCTACTTTAGAGTTTTCATCTTCACTGTATTCCCCTTCTTCTCCCTGAAAAAAATCCCATGACAGCTGTGAAGGTAAGATCTGAATGGTGTAGTTTAATTTCCTATTCTTTAGGAAAACATTTTGACAATCTTTTATTACAATCCTCAAACATAATATTCTTCCTTAAATTTCTACAAGGAGCACTCTTTATATATACACAATTTGGTGAGGAAGTCAAGTAGATTTCAAGATAAAAATACTATTTTAAATGAAGAAAAAAACTAATAAATACAGAGTGAACTCAAAGAAAATTAATACACCTGCACATCAAAATTTTAAAAAGAGGAAAATCAGAAAGATTTAGTAAATATTAATACAATAGAATTGAAAATGTAAAGAAAACTCACAAACAAAATGAACTCAGCAAAGGAAATGATGTGGAACAAAGAAACCAGTTGCACCACAAAAAAACACACACAGCAAAAAAAATGACAGTAATCAATTCATACCTATCAAGAATTACACTGAAATATAAATGGATTAAATGCACCAGTCAAGAGACAGAGGAAACAGAATGGATAAGAAAACAGGATCCTTCAATATGCTGTCTACAAGTAACACATCAAAAAAGATGGAGACAGTCTAAATGCCTATCAACAGAAAAATGATTTAAAAAAAAAAAAGGAGTAGCTAAGGTTCATAATAAGGAGACCAGCTTTAGAGTAGGATTATCCTCTCAGTATCTGAACCCATAGGAGGAAGAGGTTAGAGAGAGAGTTTAGAGACCTACAGAGATACAGAGATACCAAGTAATGACACCAAGGGAAAGTGAACTTAACAATGTCAGGGCACAAATTTATCTGGTAGATAAATAAATACATGTACACTGGTTTCTTATTCTCTTACTGAGTTCAACACATACCCAAGCCAGAAATGTCGTCTCTTAACTTCAGACCCAGGTTGACCCCAGGAATCTGGTCAAATACACTTAATGCAAGATTCCTCAATAAATGCTGTTATTGTTAGGTGCCATCCAGTTGGTACAGACTCATAGCGACCCTGTGCACAACAGAACGAAACACTGCCCAATCCTGGGCCAACCTCACAATTGTTGCCACGCTTGAGCCCATTGATGCTGCCACTTTGCCAATCCATCTCGCTGGGCGCCGTCTTCCTATGTTTCTCTGACCCTCCACTTTTCCAAACACGATATCCTTCTCCAGTGACTGGTCCCTCCTGACAATATGTCTGAAGTATGAGAGATGAAGTTTGGCCATTCTGGTCCCCAAGGAACAGTCTGGATGTACTTCTTCCAACACAGTTGTTGGTTCTTTTGGCAGCCCAAGGCACTTTCAATATTCTCCTCCAACACCATAACTCAAAAACATCAATTCTTCTATGGTCTTCCTTATTCACTGAGAAGTTCTCACTTTCTGTTTGTGAGCTTTCCAGTGTTCTAACTGAGCTGAGGCTGCCTGATTGGACCAAACAAGCCAACTTAATATTTCCCCAGCACTCAGCAGCTGGATGTTTTGGCCTCTAGGTGTTGTGGGTTAGGATTCCAAGAAATATGATACTGGTAGGAAACCCACAGAACTAAGGAAGATTGCTTGCCTATACCCATAGTAAGAATTATGTGTTTACCAAGAGTTCAACAACCAACTACCCTTAATTCTTCCAATGTTCCTCAATTACATAGAGTTTTTACTTCTCCTAAAATGTTGATGGGTGGGCGGGTAAATACTTCTTTCCTTGATCCAACATTCCCTGAAGGTTTTGGAGGAGAAATTGCAGGAATCTTGCTAAGTGCATGTGACCTAAATTCACTCCCCCCACCCCACACACACATACACTGACTGAATTAAAGCATCTTAAAATAGTACCAGTATGATTAATCAGGGAACTTTGTTTTATGCTCCACCCCCTCTAGTCTGTGGTGGAATGTCAAACCAGGCAACTCTTTTATTCCAAATGAGAAACTAATTTTGTTTCCAGAGCAGGACAGAAAGTGACAAATAGCATAGTGTTGAGGAGACTCCAAATTAGTCAGGGCCTAGTCTAACAAAAACCTTGGCGCTACCCTAGGGTCACACTGCTTTGGCTCAGAGGTGTCATCGAAACTTTTTGCTACAGGAGACAAACTCTACACATTGCTTGGTGAACTCTCTTCCCAACCCTCAGGCCTACCTTACTTTTAAGAAACTGCTTCTCTTGCAGAATTCTCATGTGGAGGTTTGTGCTCATTCTCTCATTCCCCACATACTTCAGAATAAGAGATGGAGTCAGTATCTTCCTCTTTTTAAATGTCTCTTCCAGACCAAACTCCTCCAGTCTCATTTGAAACCCCTGCTCTTCCGAGTCTCCTATCACCTGGTTATACTTCTATATATCTGTGTCACTGAAGTTGGAGCACTGAGTTCATCTCCACTTTAGTCATCCATCTTCAAAGGCCACTTAGTCATCCATCTTCAAAGGCCACACTCTACACTACAGTCCTTTCCAGAAGCACTTTTTAAAAAACTTTTAATAAGTAAACCTGCTTCAATTTTTAAAGACTTAAATTTGAGTAAAGAAGGGTAAAGAATTGATCAAGGAGCCTTGGTGGTACAACTGCTAAGCCTTCCATTCAGCTATTGACCCCAAAGTTTCTAGTTTGAACCCAGCCATCAGTTCTGTGGGAGACAGCCCTGACAATCTGGTCCCATAGAGTCACTATGAGTCAAAAATCAAATCAACAGTACATAACAGTCTTCTCAGTTATTGCCACCCTGCCGCCAACTTCGTACGAGTCACTCCTCTGACCTCCTCTCTATCTTCTCCCTATCAATCAGGCCTTCCCCACCTTCACTTTCCTCTTTATGTAGATTCTAGGATCCATCCCCCTAGCCACCTTCACATGGCCTGGATCAACTCAAACATCTGTTTTCTCTAGGCCTACAAAAAGGATACTGAGCATCATGAAAGAGGTTAACAAAAAAAAATTTACACATCTTCACAGTTCAGTGCCACCTCCAACCTCAATCCTTCCAAAGGTTCCCTGCATAGCTCCAGTCTCATTTACCCCAATCAATCAAACTCCTCCAATCTTGCAATTCCTACCCACACCTCCACCAACTTCTTGCAGCAGATGCCTTTTCTCCTATATCACAGAGAGATCGAATAACGAATATGGGCTTCCTCTCCACATCTTTTCTTACCCCCAACCTTTCTTCCTCTGTTTACAATGGATGATGGTTTCCTTCAACTTTGTTTGGTTTCTATGTCTTCTCATGAAGTCAGTCAAGGTAACCAGTACACTTATTACCTACCACTTGCTATTTCTTTCTGTACTTGTCCCTTCCCATTCATCTTTAATCATACACAGACCTCTCCCAATTTTACGCCACCACCAGACTGTGTCTTCATCTCACAGCCTTCTTTCCAGGTACCACTTCTCAAGTCTCCCCTTTATAGCTAGTTTTTTTGAAAAAGTGTTTTTGGAGGAGTCTGGGAAAGTGGCAGCAGCACAGTTTTCAATCTCTCCAAATTGCCACAGGAAGACAGACCTTCTAGAAGGTAGAAGCAAAAAATAATCTTTGAACAACATTTACCAGAAAACCAGGCTACAAGCTCCAAAATGTAAGCCAGGTAAGAGCACAGCAATAACAACAACAAGGTCCACATAGCACCAATTGGTATCTACAGGCGAGAGCAGAGAGAAGCCAAAAGACTTGAGAAGAAGAGATCAAGAGATCGTCACTGGAAAAGCCCAGCGGCAAAAGGAAGAAGAGTAGTTGAAATGAAGGGTCTTGCCATCTCCAATAGCACATAAGTATAAGGGGTCTGTGGTTGGAAGGTGTAAGGGGTTGGAGTAGTCTACCCCTTTGAACTCTCACCTGGTTGCCAGGGCTCCCCCAGAAAAAAAGGAAGTGCTGAGAAGAGAGAGAAGAGTGAAGGCAAGATAAGGGACAGAAAAAGGTGGTGAAAGTCAGCCACTTCATTTTAGAAAAAGCAACTGCAAACCACGCTTCTAACAAAATGATCAGGAAAACAATTTTACATCAAATAAGTAACAGAAAAGCATATAGGTTAAATTCCATATAAACATATTAATAACAAAATAAAGTACGATAACACTGCTACATACAATTGTGGTGGTTGCGTGCTGTGGAGTTGGTTTCAACTCATAGCGACCCTGTATAGCCAACAAAACCATTTGGTCTGGCCCTGACAAGGCAACAGCTGTTCTAGCCACCATATTGTTGTTGTTAAGTGCTAGTGAGTCGTTTCTGACTGTACAGGGCTTCCGAGGTTCAGCTGGTGGGTTTGATTTGTCAATCTGTGGTTCGAGGTCCAGTGCTGATACTACACAGCCACAATGGGAGTCCAGTCATCACATTTGTTGTTAAGTGCCTTCGAGTCAGTTCCAACTCATAGTAACCCTGTATAGGGTTTCCGAGGAGTGGCTGGTGAGTTTGAACTGCCAACCTTGCAGTTCAAACCGACCCTGCAGTCCAACGCATTAGCCAGTCCACAGCACCACGTCATCACATTGGTGGCAGTGGTGGTAAATACTGTGGAATCAGTTTTGACTCACAGCGACCCTACCATAGGGTTTCTGAGGCTGTAAATCTTTACAGAAGTATAAAGTCTCTTCTTTCTCCCAATGCCATCACATTAGGGGTGAGTTAATTAAACATTTGACCAAAGATAGCAGGCTAATTTTTCATCTCATTTGGCAGTTCAACTCCTAATCCATTACACTGCTAGGCCTCCTGGTAGTATAGTATGTCAGTAAGATGCACATGTTAAAATTACACTTCTATTTTAAAATGAGCTCAAAGACATTAAGGCATGGAAAAACATCAATCTAATTCAACCCGAATTAGAAAAACTCAGAAACAAATGAAATAACAGAACTCAGAAAGAAATTAAAAATGGAAGAAAAAATCATTTCAGATATAACATCCAAACTAGAAGGAACACACAAGAGTAAATAGACAACAAATAATGGCTTAAGAAAAGTGGAAATGAGAAAAAAAATTAAGAAGAAATGAGAGAAAAGAATAAAAGAGAAAGGCATTTGGGTAACAGAAGTTTTACGTCATTCTAGAAAACACACCAAATGCATGCGAATCCTGACACAGGGCAGCGCACACCAAGTCAAGTTATAACTACTCAGCTTTAAAGGAAAAAAAATCCTTTGGACATCTAGATAAAAACAGCAGGTGACTTTAAGAGATATAAAATTAAGAATCAGTTTTGTTCAATATAAAATTTTTGTTTCACACCATCGTCTCATGGGCCTGGAAATATGAATTCACAAGAAATGCAAAGGACAGAAGAATGTGCTGAATTGTACAAAGAAACATGCAATCATTAAAATCTTGTCAGTAGATCAGTCGTAAAGAAAAGGGATAGGAAACAAATATATATGGATTAAAAGACTTAAAGGATAGATAAAATTTTAAGAAACGGACAAGACTAAACCACAGCATTTTATGTATATTCAGTTGGTAACTAAAAAATACAAGGAATTATGAAAGTCTGGATATCAAATATCTTTCTCTAATCTAGACCTTGTTGTCCAATAGTACTTCTGGATGACAGAAATGTTCTTATCTGTGCTGTCCAATACAGTAGCCACTGGTCACGTGTGGTTACTAAGCACTTGAAATGTGGATAGGACAATTAAGGAACTAAAATTTATTATTATTTCAAATAGCCACATGTGGCTGGTGGCTATCATACTAGACAGGGTAGATCTAGACCTCTTTTCTAAATTTCAGATGATATATACTAGACATTTCCATTTGAAAGTCTCACAGGTTTCTTAATCTCAAAACATCCAAAAATTAACCTACCACCTTCCTTCTTGAAAACTTTCCCTTTCTTAGTGAATAACAATACTTACTAACACGTACAGTTCACTGCCATTAACTACATTCATCCTGCTGTACAACCTATCATCACTATCCATTTCCAAAATTTTCCATCACCTTGAACATAAGCAATGACTCTCTTTTCTCCCTCCTCCTACCAAGGAATTACTTTCTTAACTGTTTTCCCCCCTCTGACCCAGAATTGAAACTCCACAAGAAAAGAACCACAACTGACTTTCATGCAGCCCAGGGCAGATACTTAATAAAGATAAGGAACAAGTAAGGCCCTGGCTCAGCATTCACCTTTATTTCTAGAACTCTGCCTCAACAATGCTTCAAACTATTTTCAGTTTCCAAGTGTTTACTTTTCTTCCTGCCTCTGGGCTTTCTCACCTGTTGTTCTCAATGCCTACAACATGTTTTGCTGAGCAAACTCCAATTTATTTTCAGGTCTTAGCCTTTCCAGACTAAGAGAGGAGTAGTGCCCGGTCATAATACTTTACTTAATCCTATCTCAGCAGTTGTTACAATGTCCTATGACTGCCTGAACATGTGCCTGACTTTCCTACTAAGTCAGAAAATCCGTAAAGATAGGAATTTTGTTAAAGTGTTCACAACTGCATCGCTAGAGTTTAACAGAAAGTCTTAGATGTAATCATTGTTGTTAAGTGCCATCACGTCAGTTCTGACTCAGAGACTCTGTATGGGGTTTCTGAGGTATGACTGGTGGATTTGAACCAACAGCTTTGTGGTTAGCAATCCAGTTCTGAAATTTATCAGAAAACCCTTGATCCATGATGCAATTCTCCCTGTATGTAACCTATTATCAAAATTCAACACTTAAAAAAATCTACTCAAGAATAACAGGAAACAGCCACTCTGATGGCATGTCTAATAGTTTATACAATCAAGACAGGCAAACTCACAAAAGTCTTCCAAAAGGAAATTGACTTTTGCCTCAAGAAATAGTGAAAACCTCATCTTACAAGTAGAGATGTTTTTGGCACAAAACCACTGATCAATCCTGCCCTTTCTGCATCTTTACATAAACTTGGAAATCCCATCCAACTGGCTGGCTTTTTCTACATAGGCAGCATGAAATGAACTACTATATACCCTTGAAAGACAGTAGGATATTCCATTATCTTATTTAGAACTTTGATTTTCTTCAAATAGGAAAAGAAGCCAATATAACATGCTGTTGTTAAGTACCCTGGAGTCGGTTCCAACTCATAGTGACTCTACACAGGGTTTCCAAGGCTGCACATCTTTCCCGGAGCAGAACACCTCATCTTTCTCCCATGGAACAGCTGGTAGTTTCGAACTGCTGACCTTGAGGTTAGCAGCCAGATTCGTAACCACTACGCTACAGTTACATAAAAAGATCGCCTCCAGTTTCCCTTAGTCTAAGAATACCTTTTGTAACCATTTTACAGAAGCACAAATGAAAAATGAGCAGCAAGTCCATCACTGTGCTTTTGCACCCAAGGTGTCTAGGTTTATAAAAATACATTTTCCCATCAGCACCATAGGAAAAAAAAGTTATTATACTTACTTCTGAGTCTTCGGCACTTTCATAATCTGAGAGAACAGCTGAAGGAAAAGAGAAATATGTGAAGAAAAAAGTGCGACAAAATTATAATTACATTTCTTGCCAGCTTGCTATGTTGTGGGTCAAGCTCAAATTCTCATCTGATTCTGACAACAACCTTTGAGGTTAATAAAATTTTACAAAGGAGGATACAAAGGCTCTGTGATATGATCTTTCCCAAGATATACTGCTAAAAACACAAGCTCTTAAGAATAGTACTACAGAAGAGCCACCCTGCAGCCCCTCCTCGAAATCCCTAACCATCTGTAAGAATGTTCGCAGTTGGACAGGTGACCTGAGTTTATAGGTTAACAACTCTTGTCATGGTGGGGTGAAAGATGCTACTCACCATCGCCCTCAATGCCATCTTCACTCTCCTGAAGGAATGGAGAAAATATGAGTTAATTCTGGATTTTCTAAGTGGAGACCCCAATAAAGAAACGAGAGTGGGAAGACGAAGACGCTAAATAAAATGGTTGAAAAGAGAAACGGGGTAAATTGCACCTTTAACTAGTAGCAAGTAAGGGAGGTGTTTGCTTGTTTTTCTCGTCATCTCCAGCTCTAAGGTGTGAATAGGCATCCACTTTGCACCCGCCGCGGCTACACCCTCCTTCCAGAAATCCCCATGCCCTCCCCTTCCTTTGGGACCCCGATGCACAAACCCGCACTAGGATAACTACTCTTCAGCACAACATACCCCAGCATCTGCCGTCAACTCTCAGATACCCATCGTCTCCACCCCGCCTCTAGCCTCACCCCAGGCCGCCCGGTCGCGGCCCGCCCCACAAACGTGGACTCACACACTCCGATTCCTCGGCGCTTTTGGCACCCCCGCTCTCCACCCGCCGCAGATGGAGGGCCCCGACCCGGCTTCCGCGCTGGGATGGAAGAGAGCCGCTGCCTCCGCCTCCAACGTTGCCGATGCAGCTCCCGCCACCCCGCGCCGGCGACCCTCCACTGTCAGAACCCGAAGCACCAGACTCCTCGTCCTCGGTGTCCTGCGATGCGCGCTGCCGCCGCCGCCGGTCCGCCATCTTACGGAGAACGGCCGCAGCCGGTCAGCTCCTTACGCACCGCGCCCGTCGCAGGGACAGCTGGGAGGCTCGAGATGAAGTCCCGGCATGCTTCACGGGCGCCGTTTGCGCCTCCTCTTTCCAGGGGGCGGGGCCGGGGCGGAGCCAGCGCCCTGCGGCACGTTTGCGTGTGAGTGGGATTACGTATGGTGATAGGGCGTGCGGGGAGCTTAACTCGGTTCCCGATTTCTCAGGACAGGCCAGGCCAGGACAAGGGGAGCTGGATGCGGGCAGCTACCCCCGTTTCCTCGCCCGGCCATTTTGGACTGTCCGAGAAGGCGGCAAGCTGTCACAGCCTCATTTTCAAGATTTCTGTATCTGTGTCTCGTTTTTACTTAGGTTTGAGGCTGATCATTTTACTGCATTCGTTTGCGTGGGAAAATCACAAATCAAGGTAGATCTCGAAAGCTGTTGTGCTGCGTCAGATTTGCCACACTAGCCATTGAAGTTAAGGGGCTGTCTGCAGGGAACTTGACCATAAGGACATTCAAGTTATGTGATATTAGTGTACCTAGAGGAATGCGCATTAATATGTTAAAAGTCCTCCAGTATTAATATATTAATATATATAAAGTTTAGTATATATTAATTGGAGTCCTGGTGTGGCACCGTAAGCTAAGGCGTCAGACTACAAAGTCGTTTGAACTGCAAGGTCAGTGGTTCAAGCTCACCAGCTGCTCCTTGGAAACCCTATACAGGGTGGCTATGGGTCAACGGTACTTAACATGTATTAATGCACAGGATGGTCCTGTTTTTATAAATGATATGATTGAGGATACTGATGCTAATCAAAAGTACAGACAATATGCAACTAAAGGCTTACAGAGCTAGAATTTAGACACAAATATCACAAAAGGCTAGGCCAGTGGCTAAATGTGACAACTTGTAATGCAAACCCAAAAACCACCCGTCCCAGTTCAAAATGGAGGACGTATGATTGCATGTTAAAAAAAACGACCTAGAGGTTATTATTGATCACAAGCTAAATCGGTAGAAACAAGACTGCCAAGTTTAGTGTCTCATAAGGAAGGTGATAGGCCATCACTTTGCCCTTCAGTTGTTTGGTCTGGGCCCAAATTTTAAATGGACATGGGCAAAATGTTCACTCAGAGCAAACAGAAAAATTCAAAATCCTTCCTTTTGAGTAATAATCAAAAGTTACAAATGTTTAACATGAAAAGAGGCCTTGAGATAGCAGTCTTTAACTATTGAAGAGACTGAGGAAAAGGAAGGGAAACATATGAAAGCAAGTAGTTTAAATGAAAGGGAAAACATGTTTCTCTGTTTTACTGATGCAGTCCTGCTGTGGCACTGTGGGTAAATGCACTGGACTGCATAGTCAGTTTGAACCAGAAGATCAGTGTTTCAAGCACACCAGCTGCTCCTTGGAAACCCTATACAGGGTCACTGTGGGTCAGAACCGACTGGATGGCACTTAATAACATATTGTGAAAATGGATTTTTTTCTAATCTTTTAAAATTACATGCAGAATGTTTAAGGTTTCCCAGTAAATCGAATAAAGTGAAACAAATTCAAAAAAATTAACAGCCACAATAGTTTATTTACAATTGAACTCTTTATAAGATATTTACAAGACAACCAATTTTACACATCAGAAATGTATCAAAAGTATGAATTACAACACAGACAACAATATGAAATGGGCATAAAACAAAGCTGAAGTAGACAGACAAGCAATTTCTCTTTTTAATTTATTAACACTAGCTTAAACTTGGTTAAAGAAAGATAAACAAAGAACTATGTTTTAGGAGAACTGCAGGGCTTTCAGTTGAAGATTGAATTTCACAGTGTTGTATCCCATGTAGGGAAATAAGACTAATTCCCCCCCACACACTCTAACACACTGTAATTTTGCTTTTGGAACTTTGCTAACCTACTCTCCAACCTCCTCCTCAACAAACTTAAAAATATCCAAATCAAAAGATATTTGATCTAAAAGAGGGGACAATAAAGTAAGAGGTCCTCAGGGAGAAGGAAAGTCAAGGAAATCAAATCCACTTAAGTCTGGCCAGCTAGCACCTCATGGATTCCTCTCAGTCTAACTCAAGTTCAGAACCTGGGGTGTCCCCTGGGAAGGGTGTACACATGAAGATTTAATTTGCTAACCCATTTCCAAACTTAGGAATCTAACAAATGCTGAAAAAAAAAAAAAAAAAAAAATACTGAGAGGGATCAAGAATAAAGACACTGGTTGGTCTTTCTGAGCATATTATGAAGGAATATAACAGAGGTCAGAGTAGGAAAGCTAAAATGCTTGCCATATTAAAATGATGCAGAACAAAGAAAATCTGGCCTAATTTTTCAAGAAATCTCCTTCCTTTCCTTAAGGTGTGAGATGAGAGCCCCTAGTGGATTAAGTCCTATTTCTCTCTACATCCTTGCTGCATTGAAGTTCACAGCAGGTTCCCTTGCGGAGAGCCCACTCTCCTAAGCAGATGGAGTTACCAATGAACACAAACACACACACAAAAAGAAATAAGAGCAGCAAGATCATCCAAGAATACTACATGTGCTGCCGGAATAATTCTTCTAGAAGTCAAACTCAGGGAGCACAGATGAACATCTCACAGAAAGCTGAAGCAGTGGGAGGCCCCTGAGGAACTTTTCTTCTCTTCCCACAATGGTATCCCATTTCTCTTGCTCCACTGATGGGCCGGCCACACACCCTACATACCTTGGCTTCTCCTCTAAAAGTGCTAATGATCTGGGGACATATTCTCTTTAAGGACAAAAGCCCCTACCTTCTAGGAGATTAGACCCCTACTTGTTTTCACACAATAGTCCTGGAGACTAATGAAAGGCAATTCCTATATATTTAAGACCAGAGGTCTTGGCTATATTTTTCTTCCAGATAGTTACAGGGATCTTAAACTGAGACCAAAGTGGCCTGGGAGTACGGTCCTGATACTTATTATTATTATTATTTTTTAAACAAAACAGGGGAAGAAAAACCCCAAGATGGTACACATACAAATGCATTTTTACAAAGTGAATAGAGAAGCTCATTAGGTACATCTGTTTGTTACAAGATGTAGACATTTGCCAGCCAAATGAAGCACATATTTCCACCCCCACCCCCCCCTAAACCTCTACCCCATCACCAAGAGCTCAGCTAAAAGTATAAAGTCCAACAAGGAATACTTGAGAAGTGATGTGACACAAGGACATCTATACAGGTTCTGGCATGCTACCCCTAAATGCCAACTGCTTTTGTTCAGAGCCATAACTTAGTCTGAAATTAACCATCCTCATTACGTTTTCCAAAAATTTTGTTTTTTGAGGGAAGGGGAAAGAAATTCAGTTACCAATTAACTAAGAAAAGAGTAACAGCCAAACATCCCTCCCCACATGGCTACATCACAGAATAGTTTCAAGAGAATGATCTTTTCAGACATTTATCTACAAATTCTCCAGTCTCTTTTCTACTCTGTGAGGATGACTTGCTTCATCACTTCATTTGTTATTCCTCATCTGGTTCTTAAACTCATGGTGAGATTTTGTTTTGTTTTAGGGTAAAAACCACTATACCCAAAACTATAGGGAAGGGTATACCAGGACGAGAAGAGTGCCATAAAGGCACAGCTTTAAATGCAGGGGTTGCTTCCTCTTCCACAAGTACAATGAAGAGAGCACTTTCCAAAGGCAAATGTATAGTGACAGATCCCTAACACTTTCAAATCTGCCATCCGATAAATTTAGCTTAGGAGCTCATTCCCTCCAAAAGGAAAAAGCAACCCTAATCACCCTCCATAATTCACAATTAGTCCAATAAAAGAGCTTTTGTGGAATCAGAGTGACAAAAACAAAACCAAAATCAAGGGAGTACGGAAAGGTATTCTCAGGGAATGATGACATACGTGAAGACACAGGACACATAGACAGGTCTCTGCCACTCTTTGGGAATGGCATGCTACAACTATCTGAAGACAGAGGTCTCTTGCCAGCATAGCTATTTCCTACAGGTCCGGTGAGGTGTTTGCTTCTTCTGAATCTCCAACCTGCATCGGCTACGCTCATCCAACCATGGCAACTCAAAATTTCTGGCAAAAAAAGAAAGGATAAGGAAATTAGTTTGCAAGACTAAAAGGGATTCAGTATGGACATGTTCGTAACTCCAAAAGGATCACTATGCCCCTCACTACTTATAGCCCTATCTCCTGAGTCTCAAGTTTGGAACAACTTTCCTGCCTTAAAGCTTGAGTAACAATGTGCCACTAAGATACCGAATAATCTATTTATAACTCAAAACACAGGTTGTCACTATGAGTCGGTGCCAACTCTGTTCCAACTTATAGCAACTCCTGGCTAGGGTTTCTGAGGAGTGGCTGGTGAATTTGAACCGCTGACCTTGCGGTTCAGTGCATTATCCTGCAGTACCACACCAGGACACCCTACACATCTAGGGTTTCATAACGTCTGAAAGGGAGGTACAAGCTACCTGAGATGGAAAGGGGAGAACTTTATTTATACTTACTGTGGAATTAATTTTGGTAATGGTCGTCCAAATGCTACAACGGGCAAGAAGGGGGTAATCATCAAACTTTCAACTACGAAAGAAAGTCAAATGGGACCTTGTTAGTGCTATGGACAGAAAATTCCTAGCAACTCTACCTGCTCCAAAATACAATAATTCAGTTATTCAAAGCAAGTTGTATCCTGGAGTCTTACACCCTTTTGCTTCTTTGAAAAACCCACCTTTATAAAGACAGATTAGACAAATGAAACTTACCATCATCTGGCTCAGGGAAAAATGAGGTAACCTCAGGCTCAGATTCCTGAATTCCTTTCTTTTTATACATTCTGAGCTGCAGTCGCTGTAAAATTCTTTGTTCCCTGATCCTCTGAATATCCCATCTGGGAAAAATAAGCCACACAAAACAAACAAATCCAACATTACTGAAAACCTGCTCTATAAAAGCAATGCACACAATCCAGACAC